CATTTTTGAACTTTTTGTGAAAAATGAAACATTATTTTGAATACATTCTCATTTTAAGAATATATATATTTTGATGGTTGAAAATAGTACTAAAGCATAAAAGGATAGACTTTTATGTTTGAAATTTCAATTTTGATTTAGTTTTTAACTTAAAAATTAAATAAATAAATAAACCGAACTGAACTTTTTTTTGGATTTTTGGTTTTGATTCAGTTTTTTTTTTTTTTTTTAAGATAGATTAGATTTAAACAGAAAACCAAATTTTAATATATTTTTTTCATTTTTAAAGATTTTTAAGGTTTTAAAATAATAAATTATTAGTATCTTAACAGTATTATAGATAAAATTATTATAGATATTGATAGATTGAAAGTGTTTTTGATCATTACGTTATTTTAAAAAATATCAATACCTCACATTATTATTTTAGAGACATGAGATGCTCAACATATTCTTTTTCAGCGTTTACGGCCCAAAGCCCCTTTGACCACACAAGACTTTTTTGGGCGTGGGACTTATAGTCGTACTGTACAAATCCAATAAGGTCAGTTCATATACTACCATTTCTAATGCCTATATGCTTTGTTATTATTATTATCAAAAAAAAAAAATCTCAGGGCCAAATATTCTTCCAATTTAACTAAACAAGACCACACCTAATTTCATAATTGATAACATTAAATAACAAGACCACACCTTATTGGATTAGAAATTAGGATACTATATATTTAAATTTCACCATTTTGTTCATTCTCTATCATCAAATTTAATTTGTTTTTATTAATAATAAAAATATCTGGTATAAAAGATAATGAAATTTATATAAAATTACTATTATGGTAAATGGTTTGTTTCTGAAAATTAATATATATATATATATATATAGCTCCATTAGGATAAAGATAAGGTTCATAAATATAGTATATGAAAAGAATCCAAAATTCAAAAGAGTAAAAGATATTTTCTTAATTAAGAAAACTGAGTGTGGAAATAACATTTTTGGATAAGTTTTAACCTATGAGACAACATGGTTTATAGACATAATTTATTTTCAAGCTATTGGGATTGTGGTAAAATAAAGCCTATATTATTAATTTAGACTATTTAAACTCCAAACTATTAATTTTTTTTAGCAAAATTTATCTTTTTTTTTGTTATGTCAGAGGTCAAATTTTTCACCATTAACAAAAATACTTAAAATAACATTACTTTAAGCATTTCAATTTTTTTACTTAAAATTAATTTTGAAAAATACTAATAAAGTTTAAATATAAGGAAGTTTAGATAATTTTATTATTGGATATTTAATGATGTGCAATGGATCTATCTAGTAAAAAAACTTAATTATCAATTTTTTTCAAATTAATTTTAATTCTCAAGAAAAAAAAATTAAATGCTTAAAACATCATTGATTTAAGCATTTTATTTTTTTATAATTAAAATTAATTTTTCAAAAAATAATAATTAGCTTTATGAAATTTTAAATAATTTTGTTGTTTATGGAACAGACATACAGAACAAAAACATCACTTTGCATAAGAAAGAACTATACATTTCAGAACTTTTCATTCATTAGCCATTGTTACGAAATTCAATACAGAGAGTAAATCCAAAGGGCATGTAAAGAAAAGAATATACAAACACAAAGTTTGCCATGATATGGCTACAGAAGAAGAGAGGGGAGACTGCCGATTGAAAGCAATACAATATAGAGAGTTTGAAGAAACACTCATCCCCTCCCCTGTATATTGGGGATATCAGAGATCTTGGGCCAATCCTCCCCTGTATTTCGTTGACACCTCTATTCCAGCAAGGGATATGACATGATAGATAGAGAAATAAGTGGAGAGGGAAGGCTTTCTTCTGGCGCCATGGACCTGAGGTTAGGGCATTCTCTGAGTGCGAGACTTTCAAGGGATGTGAGGTGTTGAGCACAAAGGGACTCCAGATATGGACATCTGCTGATGTCAAGTTGCTTTAACGCAGGGAAGGAATCCGGTGGGAAGCTTTAAAATGGAGAACAAGTGATCTCAATTTTTTGTAAAGTAGTGCAAGAATAACCCCATTGCTGAATTTCCTCTAGTATGGAATCTAAGGAGTGGGACGAGTCAACTGCGAGACTCTGCAAGCGATGATGCAATACTATCTTATGAAAAGAGTCACCTAACACTATTTTATCCTTGGGTTTCCACCCAGGAAGTGGAAGCTGAAGCCTCTGACAATTCGTTATCTCAAGCTCCGCTAAAGAAGGAAGGTGGCTGGGCAGGGTTTTGTTAGCTAGATTGGGACAATTTCTTATGTGAAGCACTTCAAGGCGTGGGAAAGCTGTGTCTTCATTTTCACCAGCATAAGATTCCCATTCACGCCATTGCAGCATCCTCTCAAATGTTAGATTTTTGAGGGATGGGAATGGATTTCTTGTGGAAGTAGAACTTCCATAGAACTCGGGACCAACCTTCTCCACCTTATATAATGCTTGACCCATGAGCGTTTTCAGAGATGATAACTGACCAAGTGGTGGTAAGGAGGAGCAGTGATGACATTCACTAAGCTTCAGATCGCCTATTTTTGAGAAAGAAGTACTGTGTCCTACCCAATCTGGAAATTTTTTACCTCCATAACCAATGATAGAAAGACGTTCCACATCAGTACGAGGCTGTAACTTTTTGAGCACATCTTGTCGTAGCAGAGAATCATCAGCATCACCCCCACCCCATCTCAACTCCCAAGTTTTCAGCTTTATAGAGAACATCATCGAGACATTCCTTCCCATCTGCCTCAGTGACCTGCTTCACAGATTCCGAGATCTTTTTTCTCGCTGACGTTGTACGAGTGCAGAAACATCGTGAAAACATATTAAATGTTAAAGATCAATTGGAGGTAAGGATAAACAGAAGATATAATTTATAAGTTATATTTCCTCAGAGGAACCGACTTTAAGAGTATTTTATTGCAATTTTTGTATTTAATTATTTGGCAAAATCTCAATTTAATCCCAAATCTATATATTTATTCTCAATTGAATCCAAAATGTATAAATTCGATCAAAAATATTTCAAAAACAATCTCAATCAGGTCTTTTTTTTTTTTTTTTTAATATTCATCAATATGTTTTTTTGTCAAAGTGCCTTCAAGATGATGTCAGTCCAGTGCATAAATATGCACATTCGATAGAAAATGTTACTGTTTATTAACTTTTTCGTCAAACTTTTTCAAATTTAACACCATTGTAGTATATAAAATATGCAAATTGCACTTAAACTATTAAATAAATTGACAAAAGGATACGTACGTCTCGTTTGAGACCTAATTGATAAAAATTACAAGTTTAAAATGTAACAAGAAAATATAGACTGAATTTAAGATTCGCCTAATTTTCTTATGCAACTTTAAGAGTTAATTACGTATATGAAGTCAAGAAACCATGAATAAGCATTTATTATTATGGTGCCGTTTTATAGAAAGCATTAATAACCATTAATTACTATCGTGTGTATTTATAGTAACCATTAATGACTTGAAATTAGAAACCATTAATTATCTGTCGGTTTACGGAAACATTAATTACTATGGCTTGCTTATAAATTTTCCTAAAAATGCTGGCCCAACTTTTCTTTCTTTCTTCTTCATTTTTTTTACATGATTTTTTATTTTCTTTTTTCAAAATGATTTTCTTTTTAATTAATGTTATTTCTTGAAACATCATCTAGGGCTGCGTTTATTCATCTTTTTTCTTTCATTAAAAGAATTTTTTTTAATTACGTATCTTTCATGATAAATTGTTAATTTCCTTTAATTAGTATAAAGCATTTTTTGTTTGGTAAGTACCTTATTTTTTTCAATTCCAGAGGTGAGTAATGCTTCAAAGGGAGTGCTCTTTTTTTAGCTACTACGTTACAAATTTTAAGCTATTTTATTTTTTCTCAGAGTAAAAATATTATGAATACTCTAACATGACATGGATAACCTGCACCAAACTTAAAAGGAGTAGTTTTGGCATATGAAAGCTCACGTGAGTGTATTTTTGTTGAAAAAATTAAAACATAGCAATAATAAAACAAATTATTTAAAAATGCATAAATATCAGATTAAAAAAAAAAAAAGTCCCATTACAAGAAGAAACCAAAATAACCCTTATTTTTTTTTTTTGTAGTGGTGACCAATTCAATTCGTCATGGTAATATGATTTCTAACTCTGTTCCGCAACTCGTTCCGCTAACTACTAAATATTAACATTAATCTCTTAACGTCTAAACAATTGGAGTATCTATATATATATATATATATATATATATAATATATATCAATTTATCATATGACAACATGTAACTTCATTCTTTTGAGAATAGATCACGCATCTTGAAAATTATTTTTCGAAAAATATTTTCGACGCAGCAAGTTAAGTGGCAATCTACTCTTCAATGTAAGATAAAGTCCAGGACATAATCTATCATATGTAAGCATATACTTTCAATGTAAATGCTCAAATCTAGCTAGTTCCTTAACTGAAAACTCAATTATAAAATCAAACTGATGGAAAAGCTGAGTAGAGAAATTATTTGTTTAAAATTTAAAATTTAAAATAATAAATATCCATAACCATTTCATATTCTCGTTACTCATGTGATTTAATTCACCATTCAATATGAAAAATTAAAAAATAATAATAATTGATTTAATTATTTATGTATCTTTTAATAATTTATAATCCATTTTAATTCTCTTCCTAATATTGAAATTTCTAAATAGGCTTAATTGTTTGTAAGCTTCAGTAGAAATGTTTTGTAAAAATTAAAAAATTATTTAAAATTTTTATCTCTTATATTCGTTTTATTTTATAATAAAATTTATTCTTCTATATTCTTTCCCTCTAATTATATTATTTTATTGCTACAATTTCTTTTATAGCAGTTTTTAAATTATAGAAATTCCTGAAAAGAACTAATTTATAATGTACTCTGATAACTATTTATGGATTGCACATCCAGCAGGCGTACCTAATGACTGATAAAATTTTCAAGGCCCTTTATCTTTGGGCTGGAATAAATCAGGCCCATCTTAAAAATGAAAAAAGAGGTCTGCTTGTTCGAGCAAGCAACCGACCGGTGTCGAAAAAACAACAGATCTCCCTCTCCGCTCTGCTCTTAGATCTTCTTTACTGCGAGGATAACGAAGACAATTCAAATCTTGCAATTCCAAGTAACTGAAAATCGTCGTCGTCATCATCATCAGCAGCTAAGAATTATGAAAACCCTAAATCGTTCGATTTCGATTTCGGTTATTTTATCATTATTTATCTTCCTCTGTCTTTCTGAAGCTGAAGTTATAACTCTAACTCCTGAAACCTTCTCTGACAAGGTGCTATTCTTTCTTATATTATCATCGAATAGAAATGAAAATTAATTTCTTATTGATGGATTTTATTTATTTAAATAATGTACGCAGGTGAAGGAGAAAGACACAGCATGGTTCGTCAAATTTTGTGTTCCGTGGTGTAAGCATTGGTGAGGGATTTGCTCATTGATTGATTGAGTTGTTACTGAATTGATCCTCTAGTAAATATCAAAAATTAAAATTTATTTTTTATTATTATTTCAGCAAGAATTTGGGGACGTTGTGGGAAGAGGTAGGGAAGGCGATGGAAGGGGAAGATGAAATAGAGGTTGGAGAAGTTGACTGTGCTGCCAGCAAATCTATTTGTTCTAAAGTTGATATTCACTCATATCCAACATTTAAGGTCTTTTATGATGGAGAAGGAGTTGCTAAATATCAAGGTATAATTTAATACTGCTTTTTTCATATCTTTTCTTTTGATTGTAAGGAATTTAGTAAAGCATGAGATTTTGGAACGTTTCGTTAATTGTTCTAGTTTTTTAGTGGGATTTGCTCTTGCTTAATGTGCTTGAATGTGTTGCTTAATGATCTGATAGACTTGACTTTCAGTGCACCTAAGATAAATTGTCTTAAGTTTAATGATGCATGTGTTCAGTGAGTGGCTAAATTCAGCCACTTGATTTTTTCCCATCTGGGTTTCTTTGAGTTGTAATGGGAGCTTCTTGAGCCCTTGTTTAATCCAATGAAAATGGAAAAACTATTTGTACTTCATGGTTTTCAAAAAATGCTAATGGCATGATTTGAATTCTTTTTTCACAATTTTATCTGGTAATCATTTGCTCCATCCTAAATTTTTTGCTAACTGAAGTTTCAACTGGTTCTGCAACTGCTTTTCATTGTTTGAATGGAGTAATCTCGGGTATAGAAACTCTTGTTGCCTTTTGAACGAACTGCAAAAGATGAGATGCAGTTTTTGAGTTACTGCTATTTTTTTTTTTTTTTTGGTGTTGCCTTAGTGTCAATACTTTTTTGGCTCTGACCAACATTAAGCTAGAGGGCGGCCATATGTTGGCACTTAAACAATGAAAGATACTTTTATGAACCATTTTAAAAATTAGTTGGATGTCTTGCTGATAGAAATATGTATAGATGAGGAGTTTGAGTTCTACGTAAAGCTATTGAAGGAATATGTAGTGAATTATCTCCAAATCGCAACTTGCGAAGTAATTGTCTAGATAATAAACATTGGTTCTAAGCATTTTCATCACTTATTTAGGTAAACCTCAGTATTTGTATGGAATAGTGTTTGTAAAAAGGGAAAGGAAAAACAGAGGCAAAATAATAATAATAATAATAATAAATAATGTGATTTGTATTCTCAATGTGATTACTCGGGTTACGTAACTTTGTGGTGAGGAACCCATGAATCTAACAAAGACAGATCTTGCTGAGGAAAAGAAAGGGAATGAAACAATAATGAAAAGAAGATCAAGAACGATGAAGGTACTATGATGCATGATCCCAAAACAAACAAGTTTTAGTCCTGTGATCTGGCCAGCAATAATTGTTGTGGTCTGGATGGGCAGGAACACTTAGAACAGTTTGTAGTTTTGCATTTAGCTGGTGGTATAAATAGTTCAAATAATGAATATGTATTTCCTGAGCTTAACATGCAATTAAGTATGTCATGGATCATTGTGGTTGCTACACATTTGCTACTGTGAAAAATATCATATAGAGATGCACTGCCTTGGACATAGTTATGATCTGCAATTTGTATGTGGTTTGTCAAAATCTATCAGGATCTTCACTCAATCTAAAGATGCTTGCAGCATTAGGTTATTTGCCAGTTTAGCCAGGTCCAACTTGAGTGCAGAATCTTTTAATGTTTTTAAGATACAGCATAGATGTAGGGTTAACATTTCATTTCTCTTATTTTGTGTGTTTAGATTCTTAGTATAATAGATTACTTTCAGGAATGATTCAATGGAGTTAAATTAACTTATTTATTTATCTTTTCAGCATTAGAATTCGATAACCATGCTTTTCTGTTGCATTTGGCATCTATTTAGCAGTTTCATATTAACCAGTGCAATGAAATGCTTTGCATTGATGGTTTATAATATTAATAAAACTTCAAGATCTAAGTGTTTTTGCCTTATATTGAAATGATCAGGGCCAAGAGATGTTGAATCTCTTAAAGCATTTGTTTTAGATGAAGCAGAAAAGGCAGCGGCAAAAGCACATCTTGACAACGATAAAGACTTGTGATTGGTTGTAAGGTAGACTCTAGAATCTCTTCATTATGCACTCAATTTAGAGGGCTTGAATTCTCTGTTTTTCTTTTTCCCATTTATTACCTTTCTTATTCTTTCTTGCAAATTTTGCAGGCAATTGATCCGGAACTCCTTTTCAAAATTTTCATTTGTATGTCACAGTGATTTTTCTCAAGATGTAGTGAGCACCCATAAGGGCCGGTGGAGCTTCACAATGGAACAAATATGATTTTGCAAACGTCCCAGTTCAGATTATCTCGTGCGTTGTCGCAGATAATATTAACAATATGCCCATTTTTGTTTGTCATCTTGTATTAGGAGGTTGTTTAAGCTATGAACAATGGATCACCAGTTAGAAACAGAACTAAGCTTGTATACACAGGAATTTCAACTTAATGTCTTGAAAAGTTTAATTATATTAGCTTCAAACCATAGATATCCAAAGGTGAACAATGTTGGTGGCAATCACGTTGACAGCTGCTAGTTGCAACCACCCTGTGTAGGGGACCATGTTTCAAGTAATTTGCTAAAGATTACGAACTCGATCAATCAAATTGGAAAGAAATTTATATTTCTTTCAGCAAATTTAGGGGTGTAAAATGGATCATGTCCCTTCCAAAAGAGCAACAGTTAGTGATGGAGCATTTGACAAAAATATAGAACGAGTATCCAAGCTATATAATTCCCATTTTGATAATCCTTTTAGCAGAGGCTGTTACTTAAACTTGGTGATAGCTGTGCTAAAATAATGACAATGTCTAGAATAAATCATTTGCAAAATCCTATACCAATAAATTGTTTGCTAAATTATACTCGAATTTTAATAAACACTCGTCTTTTGGCACCCTGAGATAGGTAAAGTAGAATGGCAATAGGCCAAACTGATAATCCTCTGCCTCTTTTTTTTTTTTTTTGTACAAAAGATTATCTACTTAAACGGTTATAAGAGAATCAAGTTTTCACATCTTTATTCTGCCGCTATTGTTCAAAAACTGGAAGAACTGCGACTCCACCTGCGGAAATTCGAATAGATATTTAGCGCACACATCTTCATTAGAATTTGATCATTCGTCCGTAAGAAATACAATTTTTGTTATGTTTGTAAGAGGCTACATGAGATCCCCTTTTTCCCTCTGATTTATATGATTTACAACCCATAAAGCATCTAACGTATTTCAGTTAACAAAATCTGTAGCTATACTAAAAAGAACAAAAAGGTCTCTAAGAAAATGCTCAAAGAATAAGACATTTTCAAAGTAATCAATCAGAGAGTTGAGCAAACTTGATTACTTCATTGTTGTTCATCAGTGGTTGTAACAGGGACTAATGCATTGGAGTGTCTATCTTGGCCACCATCAGAAATATCAATGGTATTTGGGAGCCCTGCAGTGGACTGTCCTACTTGGCCACCATCAGAAATATTGTTGCTGCCTTCTTTCTGCAAAAGTAAACAACCGAAAAAATTATATGAATTTTCTTCCTCTTTTTTTTCGCCAAAATTTGAATGCTGAAGCAACCATCAAAACAACAAACCAGTGGAAAATTTGACCAGGAAGACACTGCCCTAGCCCTCCAATGATGACATAAAGATATCAACTACGTGTATCTGACCCTTCAATGTTCAAGTTCATTAATTCCAAAAATCCAAAACGCATCTATTCAATCTATATTTCTCTTGTCCAAGAAAAACCAATCAATTAAATACTACTCGAAATTAATATAAATGTGTTCCCCTGCATGCTTCTATGCAAGTAACCCATCAATATATTCTTGAAAGCCCTAGCCCTGAGTGCTTGAAATTTTCATTGCAATGCACAAAACATAGCGTGAACTAATCTATCCTACAATTGTTAAGTGTAGAATTTGGTCTAGCTTTCTTTAGCTTATGAGTCCATCTGGTTACAAGCTGCTAAAGTTTTTGGGTAAGAAACCTCAACGAAATATCACATTCCACCATTATGGTAAGTTCATTTATTATCCCACATGCTAAAAGTTATAGTAGGCCTTCGATTGCGATTTTGGGTGTGTCAAGTAAGCAAGTAACCCTATAAATAGAAAGACTAGTAGCCCAACTTTTGTATCAGACACTAAACAGAGCAAGTGGCCTACTTGAAAGAAAGGGGGGCACTCTCGTGTTTCAACTCCACTATACCATTAATAGTTAATAGTTGTGTGGCACTGTTTACTTGAAGGTTTCACTAGCTTTACCACTAATACACCTTCATTCTCACTCCTTTCAAATTTGTTATTAGAAAGAAATATGACATAAAATATGACTAATGAATAATATTTATTGAATAATTTAAACAATTTATGAAAGCAAAGACATACCAAAACATTTAGAGCAAGTAGCATAATGCCAGGCAATTCAAGCAAAAAAATTATTCAGTTAATCAGCTCAACATTTAACAATTTGCACATTTATCACCCACAACAAACTAAACTAAACCAATTCTAGCAGCATTCCTCCTATCTACAGGTTTCAATTCCGGTAACTAAATCCAAAAATCCAGGTAAGAAAGCATATCAAACAAAATCATTTGCTACAGATTGAGGGATCCATCATAGAAAAAGCAAAATCCATTTATAAAATAATAAACACAATATACCTTTTTACTTAACCCTTGTGCAGCCATTAGATCATAAAATTTGCGCATCAGCATTTCTTCCTCCACCTGCAATTCATCAAAATTTTAAATGTCCAGTTTAGGAAAAATAATAAATAAAAAAAGAACATCTTTTTATTTAAAATTTTTATGCGCGCACACACATATATATAGAACCTGGAGCTTATGCAATTCATGCGACATTGAATTATAGGCGTTCATTAATAAATCATTCTGCTTCTCTAAATGCCTGCACAACACAGGAAAAAAAAAACAATTTACTAATTCCGATAACAATCTACTCCAAATAACGTAAAATAAAATCGAGATGCAATTACAATAATAATAAAAAATTGAATAAATCTCAATGCTTACTTGAGTATGTCTCCAGTGTGTCGAGGATCCATGTTTGATTAATGGTTGATAGATCGAATGCCAAGATTTTCCGACCTGACCTGACCTGCAGGGAGGGTGAGCTGCGAATGCAGAAATTGGGTCAAAGAAGCGTCGCCAAGAAGATTAGCCATGCTAACTACACCAAACAATGAAATGATTTGATTAATATAATTGTTTTTCCTTAGAAATAACCATTGATTTTACCTTGTGGAGCCGGATATAATGACTGAAAAACCCTAGAGAAAAAATACCCTTCTCGTTTTACTCATCCTTCGTTTTTCAACCTTTTCGCTTCTTTTCAGGCCACGGTTTTGATAAAATCATAAAAAGGTTTTTTATCGCTCCTTCGAGTGGATTGGATCTGCACAAATATATCTTGTAAAATGACTGAATTAACCTTGATGCATTCTCCGTATTACACTTCGTTTTTGGTTTGTCTTTGGCTGTGCATTGCTTGTTACGTGTTGAACTTTTGACCTCAAAATAGCCCAACGATGATGTTAGATAAATTTAAAGAATAAAATACTAACATTTATTTATTTCTTTAATATAATAGCATATCAATTTTTTATGTTATGGATAAATGGATCATGCTTGGTTTTTCATGAACGGTCGCATTTTGACGATTACAATATAAATTAGTTGCTTTAGTTTTTCAAAACAGATAAATAGTTCCTCTAGTTTAGAAAATTAATTAATTAATCCCTCTGTTTTAAAATCAATTTGTAATTTAAATCCTTTTTGTTCTTTTTTAATATTTTTATTCTTTTTTATTTTAAAAGGATAGAAAAAAGTAAAAAAAAAATTGAATAATTGATGAAAAAAATATTTTGAACAAATTAATATTATTAAATTAATCATGGACATACTAGTTGGATGACTAATTAATTCTTTTTTAAAATAAAAAAGGACTATTCAATTTATTTTAAAAACCAGAGGGACTAATTTATAATTTACTCCATTCTGACATATACAAATCAAAACTTGAATCATCTTCCCCATCCAAAAAGGAACGGAAATGATGAGGCCGAGCAAAGAGCCTGCCAAAGGGCGCACCCGCCTCTCTTCCCCATCCAGACCATCTAGATCCGACCCATCTCCACCAAGGTCACGCAAATCCACCGTCAGCTCCTCCGCCTCTGCTGTCGATAACCTTGAATTGGCGAGTGAACAACAGTATCCATTCACTACTGGGTCTGGACTCTTTGATGAACCAAGGAGTTTCCCTTACAGCGTGAAGCAGCAATGCTGGGAAAAGGCAGAGAAGGTGAAAGGCCGAGACCCAGATCGGTGGCGCCGAGACGCTCTTGGTAATATTGTCTTTAGGAAGCTCGTGGGTTGTCCTGGTTGCTTATGCCATGATTATGACCATATTGTTCCCTACTCTAAGGGAGGAAAAAGCTCGCTAGAAAATTGTCAGGTTTTGCAGGCAACTGTCAATCGATCTAAGGGAAACCGGACTGAGATATCTAGAGCTGATCTCATTCGAAGAAGTTCCTATTGTCGAGTTTCAGGTCGGGACATGGATTTTGTTGAACTCTCAGCCTATGGCAATGTCCGTCATGAGCAAGCATCAGGTGGTTGTAGGATCCAATAACCAGTTAGCTATCGTAATTTGTGTTACTAATTTGTAATTGTACTCCAATATTTTTCATTCGAAATCAAATGAAGAAGAAGCATCTTTGTGTGCGAAGTTTCTTCACAGCTTTATATAAAATTTCATTAAAACTTTATACTATATTTCAGCATGTACAAAATCACCTAGCTAACACAATCTTCTCTCTAATCGATTTCAGAATGTACATAATCAACAAACACAAAATTCTTTTCAAGTTGATTCAATGCGTAAGCTAGGCCAGCGCTGACGAGTGCAAGGGCAGCTAAAACAACTCGAAGTTGAACGCCTGAAGGAATTCCGGCCGTTGCACAGAAAGCAACAGTCGCACCTATTAAAAACTTTTGCAGCGTCTGGAATGATGCATAGGCTTTTTTACAGGACGAGCACTTTTGTGTGTGTTGCTCGAATCTATCCAACATCTGCATGATAAATAAAATACGAGAAGAAAACGAAAAGTATCAGGAATAAGTTCAATCCTCACAGCTGAAGTACACCAGAGGCGCTTAAATTTTGAAACCTATGATCATTGCTTTGAAGAAGCCAGCAGTTCAGTGAAAAGTAACACTTGTGATAAAGAGAAAGGAGGATAGGGGTTTCGTACCTCACGTTTTGATAAAACTGTTGATGGCAGAGGTTGTTGGTCGGTGAACCCAAACCACTCAGGTTCACCGTTGCCATGTCGCCTCAGCCAACTTCGAAATGCCAAAACCAAGCGATCTGCTTGAGTGGGTGTGAACGTGAGTTTTGAGTACAGCTTATTAATATCAGCAGAACCTCCCATGGATTGTGAAAGAAATGTCTTCTCTTGACCCTGCAGGACGATCATGTCTCCATCGTATACCTTATTTGAAGTCCAATGCTCATGCCATCTCGGAACCACCTGATAAAAACTCAATTTGATATTAATAATTTGATGTTGATGAGGATGACACCAATTTAGAACAACTATAAATTATGGAAAGCGATGACATTCAAGATTGCCAAATAGGATCGGCAAAGAACATTTCAAGAAGAAAGCAAATCTGGACTGGCGAAAAAGATGCTCATTCACAATAAGCAATGATCAAAGCATGATAAATGTTGTAGCATATATAGGCAATTCATAACTTAGGAATGACCCACCCCATCTTGGTAACATTTTCTCATAGAAGTATCAAAGGTCATATAGTCCAAGCCACTGAAATCCCTGAATGGAGTGAAATCCACCTTACAATAAAAGCCACTATAATTTTGCAATTTTAGTCTCTATCATACCATTTACAATAGAATCTTTATTTCTTCTTTTAATTCGCAACACAAGTCTTGAAACTGCTCCAAAACACAGAATGATGCTCCTAATTAACTTGAACATACGCATGGGAAACATTGACTAATTTTGCAAAGACTTGTGGCTGGTTTTAAACCGCCACTTTGTTTTTTTTTTTTTTTTTTGCTATTACCATGGGGCTATACATGGTAAAATTTCGAGAAGGAACTAACATTAACATTCTTGCCACAATATAAACAACAAATAAGAGGCACAACCAAAAAGTAGTTTACCTGCCACCATTCAGGCCCTGGCATTGTGAACTGGAAGAAGTTTCGAGCACTGCAAACAATTGAACGGGTCTTCCCAGGTGCCATTGGCACGTTGAAGGAACAAATCCATATTATCCATTTCTGATCACCAACAATAGGAAGTTTTGTGTCTATCTCCACTCTGGAAAGAAACAAGTATCACTAAGTTCTATAATCAACAGTTCCTTGGAAAGGGATGAAAGATAGAAGAGTTCTATGACAATTGAGGACAAGAAAGAATACATAATTACTATCCTTGAATAACAGTTGGTGTCAGAATAACCAATTCCACTATGCACTTTTCGTTTGTTATTCATCAATTACAAGCAAGTGAATAAAGCAGAACATATTGCAGCAGATTCAGCTTCATACTCCAAAATACAAGCTTCTCTGGAGAGCCTTGAAGCATGGGCATCGCCAAAGCTACCATGATCAATACATAAGCTGGCGTGAGGAGCCAGATCCACCATACAAAAGCCCACACCAAATTTTATACACAAGAAATGCAGGGCTTCTTTACCAGACCTCAAGTAATGAAATGAGAAGGTTCTTGAAGCATAAACTCCAGATAATCTTATTGTAAATTCAAATTAAGGTTACTGATAACTGTTATGTTAAAGCAGGAAAACTACTGAAGGTCCCCCAATAACAAACAATAGCGCACAAAAGTGAACATTTTTAAAAAATGAAACCTTAAAAGAAAGTGCCAAAAACTTCATTAAAGACATTTACAATTCTTTCTCCTAATTATACTCACTTATTTATATAGTAACAAGGTGCAACAAACTCAGCACTGATCCGTGGATTCCCATCACTGGCTCCAGCAAAGCCCTGGGAGCCACTAGACTCCAACTTAAATGGCAAAGGCTTAGCTCTATCTCTCCTTCCTGTAACCTGTGGATTCATTGATCCCAATAACTAACAAATAAGTGCAAAAATTTTCAAGTACTAATATATACCAGGAACACCGAAAACAACATTGCCCACGTTAAACAATGTATTCACAATTAAAACATCAGGGGCAATATCCTTGCAAATTTTAGAGTTCATACTGGAAAAATTACTAGTAAGAAAAGCTGAATATGGTTTAGTAGTTGAAACCATTGCCAACAACATGCATAAATTTCACTGACAGATTTGCACTAGGATGGATAACAACATTGCCCCAGGCATAAATTGCATGGAGACATGTAGTTTTCTTCTCGTAAATAGCAGTCAGGTTTTCAAATTCAAACAAACCTCTCCTTTGGTTCCAGAATAACTACTCCCAATGAAATTTAGCAGATCATTCAAGAGAACTAAGTTGATCTCCATCAAGAAATTTGAAGTATAGATGCGATTATGTTTCAACCTTGGTAACAGCAATATACATACACATATGACGTCTGCTCTAAAATTGATGTCTTTCATAAATATGTAAGAAAAACTGTGTTAACCCAGCCAAACATTACACAAATGAAAGAGGTTCCTGGCATCGAAACAGCCCTTGATTCAACTTGGTGACATTGAGACTCAGCATACCTAAACTATGTGGTTAATTCTTCAAATCCTATTCAAGCTATGAATTTATCAAAAACTATAAGGACAGATCTTCAATCAAGGTGATTAGATACATAGTTATACCTTGTGGTGAGCAAAATCAATGTGCGAAGGATCAGAAACATTCTCCATGAGGGTATCATAACCATAGAACAAATCACGCTGAATTGTCACCGTTGAGAACTCAGGCTTATCAAAGTCATCAGGTAACCTAACGAATTGCAGTAAAAACAAGTACAATCATTACAAGGGCATGGCATTGTCAAATTAGATAACTCAATCATTAATATAAAATCTAAATCAAACATAGAAATAAGAAAGGATCATTCACATGGGGGCTTTGGTGGCTTGAGCTCTTTCCCAACCATTCTCGTCTGGCCAAACAAAGAGCAGACCTTGGGACACCATCGTAGGAAATCTGGTAGCACAAGCTCTTGGAGATTTGACTGCACGAGCTTCAGGGCCTTCAGGCAAAGCCTGAGGAATTCGTGTGCAAGATCCACACCCATCAAATGACCATCCATGGTATGAACATTGCAGGTGCCCATTTTCATCAATCCTTCCTTCCTACCAAATCAAAATGAACCTATCAAAATTATACATGCTTTCCACTTTTGGTTCACACAAAAAAAAAAAAAAAAAAAAAAAAGAGCAAACACAACTTTCGAATATTTAACTACCATATTCAGAACTTATTCAAACCATCTTAGCACCTATATTTAGCACTTTGCACAAAAAATATGGCACCGCTAGCTTTCAAAACTTGAATATTCTCAAGAAATTTGACCTGATGCAACTATTTCATTCAATCAAGATCCTTTTCCGATTCCAGAAAACCACAAAAGGGACCTAACCAAATGGTAGCTTCCAAATTCTCCATAGTATGAAGCAAACAGAGAACCACAACAATTATGCCAAGGAAAAAAAAAACATAAATTTGCAAACTTACAGATAAGGGGGCAAGTCTGTGGGGACATTTGTCATCAAAAGCAGCCCATTCTTGATTAGCCTTATCAAACCAAAGAACTAAGTCACGACCCAGAAGCTGAAATGGGGTTGGCAAAAGAGGGTCCAAATCCTCAAGTAAAGAAACAGGGTACCAGTGATCCCTCCAAGTGAATTTAGAATCATTAATCTCCTCTCCACTCTCATCATCGACTCCATAACCTTCTTCTTCTTCTTCTTCTTCTTTTTGCACAGATGGTGATGAGGGAGGTGCCGCAACATGTAAAGGAGAGATCTTTTGGTTTCTTTTAGTTGGTTCTTTTGTGTTTAAGGTTTTGGTGACTAAAAAAGGAGAGGATTTGAAGTGGGCGTTGGAAGTAGTTTGTGTTAAGTATTTGGAGATGCAAGTGGTAGAGAGAAGGAGTGCCATGTTTTTTTAATGATCTTCCCTTGTTTTAGTTTAGTTTATTGCAGTTAGTTTTGTGGTTTCTTTAATGAGTTTGTGGGGTTATTTACCTTTGTTTTTTTTCAGAGAAAGAGAGGGAGGTGTTTGCGTACAAGTTTGTTAATTCATTTGGAATGGAAATGTCCTGCTCCTGCTCCTGCTCTACTAGTTTCTGGACCTGAAATCTGAAAGCGATAGCTTTTGAATGATTGGAAGAAAGAAGCAAAAGACCAAATATTCATGCTTCCATTAATTAAAGTTTTTCCTGCTTTTATAAATCCATGCTAACAAAAACTTATACTTCCTTACCTGCTTTCTATGTCATAAAACTTATGTTTAAAAAAAATATTAAATTTCTTTGAAATTATGGAATTTTAAAAGATATAATTTTAAAATATCTAATAAAAAAATAATTTCTATTGATATACAAAATAGACAAAGTATTGTTACCATCTAATAAAGAAAACGTTAGCAAAACTATAGATGAAAGCAAAATAGCCCTGAAATTTAATAATTATATTATTTAAGTTTTACCTTTTTCATATACAGTGACTTCTTTTAAACTAAAAAAATATTTTTTTTATTTAATATTTACAACCAGTATATATATTTATTAGCTGAAAGTGATTTTTTTTCCATCTTATTATTTTCTTACCCCATCAAATTGTTAGACCAATACTTTAAATTTCTAACTCAATTATTTTAAATTTTAAGTTCAAGAAAGTATTTTATATTAAATTATTTATGTCTTTTTGAAAATACTCAATTATATCTAAATATTAAAAAAAATATATGTATATCAAAGTCAAAATATTTATAAGAATTATAATTCTCGATAATATTAAATAATAATATGACAGTAACCATCTCTTCGGTTCAATTATTATTCAAATTAGAATGAAAAGATTTGTGAAAATTGAAATTTTCATGTATAAAATAATAACGTGGAGGTTAAACCTTGCGACCAACCCCTCAAATAGTCACATTATGAAGGGGAGCTGTTCTTCTGGTCGGTTCGACTTCATCACTAGAGATGTTTATACCCAGCAAATTTTAGCTCATCTTCTTTTCAGTTCCCCTATAGGAGGTAAATTATAAATTAGTTTATTTATTTTTTAGAAATGAATTTATTAATTCTTCTTATTTTAAAAACTAATTGTATGTTATATTCTAAAATTTTTTTTAATAAATAATATTATAGAAAATTGAAAAAAAAAAAGAAGATATTTGTTAAAATAAAATAATATTAAATTAAGTGGGGTCATGATAAAAAATTTAAATTATTAATTTTTAAAACAAAGAGAACTGTTTAATTCATTTCTTGAAACTAGAGGGACTAATTTATAATTTACCCTTATATAGACTTGCATAGTGTTTTGATTAAATTTCCTACCTCGTGTGAATATGAGGTGCTGTGTCGACTGGGTCGTTGAATTTGATGGCGGCCAGAAATTTGCCACAGCATCAGATTTTTATTTTTTTCTTGAATAAGCCACGAGGCACATGATTAGATAACAAAACAATTGGCATTACTTGTAAATTATAAATTAGCCCTTTTTATTTTTAAAAAATAAACAAATTAGTCTTTTTAGTTTTAAAAATTAATTAGTTTATGATTTAATTGATGTTGGCCACTTTTATTTTAAATTTTTAATATTACTTTATTTTATAAAATATCATATTTTCTCATCAACTATTTCATATTTTTTTTATTTATTAAAACAAAAAAATAAGATAAATTAAAAAAAAGAATGAAAATAATTAAATTACAAGAAAATTTTAAAATATAACTAAATAAATATGTTTTTTTGAAACAAAAGACATCTCAAAACTAGAGAGTCTGATTTATAATTTACTGGCATAGCTTCTGTCGTTTGACGTTTGGTAACCTGGCTATCCTAAAGTAACAATTTTTCAGTTTTCATTCCAATTTTTCATCTTTTAAAAGCCCATTTAGCCAGAAGAGGCCTTTCAGGAGGGAGCTGTGAAAGCAGAACTTGGGATCAAATTGAACAATAAATTTGTAGGCAAAACTTCTTATTTACCTTTATATGTGGGTCAATTATTCAATGCCCTGTGTTGTAAATTTGGTCATTGATACCTCGTATTGTCCAATTTGATCCCATTAATAGCTTTTGTTAGATTTTTCCCTTAGAATGCTGACATAGACTAAAGTCACGTCAACTAATTTAACGGTATGATCTAACAGAAGTTATCGGATGGGTCAAATTGAACAATACAAGTGGGTTTGATAGAAAATGAATCAAAAACATCTCATTTAAAAAAGCGAGGTAGAATAAGTTCGAATTCACAGGTTAAAAGTGAAAAACAACTTAAATCAATCTGTAAAAATCATTCCAAACGGAACTTTAGAACAACTTGTTAGATCCTGCACTCATGTTTTCAATTCCCTCAACTTTCCAATGACCATGAAAGAGAAATAAGAACAATCTTCTTGAATTAAAATGACAACCATGAGAATAATGGTAGAGGTTGCTTTTTATACACAATTCAGAGGAAGTTCCCATTCTTGCAAGCTCATGAACAGATGCAAGCCAGATTCCCTAACCCACCTACAAGATCAAATACCCCCATGAATTTTACACGCAGACACATTAACAAATTGTTATTATATACATGTATACCAACACACAATGAATTAGTTCAAACTATAGAACACATATCTGATGGTTTGGGTCATACTATTACTTGAAGCTCTTGCAAGGAGAAAAAAACATGTTTTAATTCCATTTTCCAGAATTATTCACTCTCAATGTAATTCTCAACATATTGCTCGTGATACGCAATGATCAGTAGATTTCTTGGTCCAGAATCCACAAAGATGTCCATTGGCACAAAAGAAGATAATGTGAGCAAATGTCTCAGTTTGCACGAAATGGGCATTATTGTGCATGCATTTTGCTTACCCTCCCCAACACTTTTCTCGCAAAGCACATCACTTCTTTGGGTAAGTCCCAGGGTCAGGTCCAATGTCACGTGAACCAGTGTTTATGTAAGGCCCTCGGAAAGTCGCCTGTGGTGGCAATGGCTTTGATGAGTCAATCACTGGCTTACCCTTGGACGATCTGTACAAGACAACTAATGTCCTTAGCTACAAAGAATCAACGAAAGACAACTTCTCAGCGCTATTTATGAGAAACCAAATTACTTACGCCATGTAGAAGGGAAATGCTAAGCCTGCAGCAGCAAAAGCCAGTAATCCAGCAGCAACAATGACATTACACTTCCGGGTCATCAGGCTTAGCAACTCAGGTTAATGAATGATCTAAATGAAAACACAAAAATGAAGAAAAAAATTTATATTAGTGCCCTCTTCAAATGATACGAAATACAGTGCAATGTCTATATCTGCAATGGTTGTGCGTTCGATCCACTAGCAGCATTCATGCTTGGAACGAATGTCACAGCTACAAGCTTATATTGATGTCTCCTTAAAAACTTACAGCTAAAAGTCCAAAAATAAAATGAATTTGCAAGATGCAAGTTGCATATTTTTAGCAAAGCAATGCACGCTTTTTTTTTCCTTTCTTCCTTTTTCAAGACATGTACACACAGCAATCCCAGGTTTCCCAGCATCAATATAAATTCAGAACATAAAAGGTTTAGACTTGTACCTAAAACGCTAACCAACTCACATAAGCTCAATACAAAGAGAAAAGTAAGCAAAATGGAGAACGAGGGCACCTTGGACAGTATCAAGCATGAAATAAGCTGTAATAGTTCAATTAATATAACTAATATCAGAAATCTACAAGGATTTGCAGTAGGTAGACTAGCCAATACTGAATTAGATTAATAATAACACTGGTAAAACAGGCATCCACCACTCCAAAATTGGCATTCCATCTTTCTAGCTTTTAATTCACAAAATAAATCAACCACACAACAGATTTTTTTAACAAATATTTTTCTACTTCTTAGACTCATTCTTTATTTATTATTATTATTTCAAAAAAAAAGGAAAACAAAAAAGCCAAATAACCCTAACTAATATGAACAAAATATTCATCAAGATCAATTGAGCTGAGGTACCTGGTTGGATATCCACTCCAATTTCGAGTTACTGTAAAGAAAAAGATGCCTCGGTGAGTTGGAGCGGTTTATCTCAGAGGCCTGGGAGCCGATTAGCTAGCTTAGCATACACAAACAACAATGGAGATGAAGGAGCAGAAAATTGAAAAGGAGCTTGCTTGGGCTTTTGTATTCTACGTACTGGATTTTCTTTAGATTCTAAAAGATGGTCCAAGTTGAGTTGAGCTGGGTTAGCTTGTCTGTCTTAAAGATGGACCAAGTTTCCAGCCCACACGCACTAATCATAGGAATTTAATGAAATGTTGTCTTGCATGCCTTGCATAAAATACTAAAATACTGTTTGGTAATCAGAAATAAAATAATGAAAATAAAAATACATAAATTAAAATAAAAATTAAGAAATAAAAATGATATTGTATTCTCATACTGTATTTGGAATACTAATAAGGAATCGAAATGCAATTTAAGTTTTTAATATCCGATTTTTTATACAAATAAAAATAATGATTAAAAAAATAATTTTATCAAATTATAATGATTCTAAAAATAACAAAGGTGGTGGTGGTGGTGATTATAAAAGTGGTTTTTCTAATGGTGACAATAGTGATTGCGGTAGTGGTGGTGGTGTTTATAATGGTTGCGATAGTGGTGGTGGTAATGGTTATGATAATTGCTATGGTGGTGGTGGTAGTGATGGTAAAAATAATAAATAAATAAAATATATTATTATTTTAAAAAAAAACTCATTCTCATTATTTGTTTTTATTTCAACATCTTATACGATAACGAAGTTATGTGTAAATTTTCGTTTTCATTCTCACTTTTCATTCACATTCTCATTTCATTCCTTTTAATCAAACATACTACAACATGAGAATAAAACTTATATTCTTATTCTCATCACTCTATTCATGATTACCATAAGATCAAAAAGAAGAAAAGATTAATCCCATAGTCTAGAAAATGAAAGTTTGGATCGGTACGACAGCCGTATAAAAAAAAAAAAAGGATTAATCGCATAATCTAGAAAATAAATGACTTTCGTGTTCATCAATGGGCAACTTCCCAATAATTTGTTTATTAAATATTGGAAGTTGATTTATGAAGTTGTGATAATTGGTGTAAATCGATATCTTAAGTGACAGATTTCCACATATTTTAGTCAGTAGTAATGGCATTGGCTATTTGAGATCTTCATAATCCAGATTTTCATGGATTTAAAACAACTCTAAAAACCCGAGTAAACATAAAACTAATCATCAGTATCACATAAATGTGGTAATATGCAGAATGTACAAGCAGTTTCCATCCCTGATTATTAGATGAAACCAACGCACAGAATTACTAAGAAAAATCTGAAATTCATTCCACATCCTACAGGAACTAACTAGGTCGCCGTTAATTTTGGCTTAGAGGTAGTTATGTTCCAACATATGACTCACTTAAAATCACAACGGAAAGATAGATCGCTTTATGCTGGCTGTCCACACCCAAAGAAAAACACCACTCTTTTTCTTGATGGAATTCCCAAGGCCTTGGAAGTTGGAAACTACAAAAAGTTGGAGCTTCATGTAGTGGTTGTCGCAGCTTCACTGTCATTTTCACTAGCCTTTGATTGAGCGGCACTAGGTGACTTCTCTGGACTCAAAACACGTCCAGTCATTGGATCAACTGGGCGTGTGTCACGAGGACCACCCTTCCGTCCCATTGCCGCCATTGGTGCTGGAGGAAGTAACCCTGCTCTGAAAAGAATCCGTTGGACAGGGTCTGAAGGCTGAGCACCAACTGATAACCAATACCTGTAGAAACCAGCAGAAAAAATAACTGCATAGAAAAAAAATAATAAGAGATGCTTCATCTGCTTAAAAGTTTCTTCTCACTTCATTGTCTGCTTAGGCAGCATTCACTCATTTAATCCTATGTGAAGTCATATACCATAATTTAATTTAAACTCTCAATCACAAAAGTCTGCAGAGGTAAATTAAAGGAACTAGATCCATTTTAACCAATCCTGTACCCCAGGATAAAAAGATATGCTATTCCAACCAAAAGATGGCCTCAAGGATACCCATATCAATGACCAAAAACATATACGGGACCAAAAAATCTACAGGAAAAGAAAATCCGAAAACGAAATTGCACTCCTAAAAATTGCTCATATTGATTACAACATAGATCAGTTAACTTGGTTTTACTACTCCCCTTGCCCTGAAAGAAAAAGATATGTTTCTGAATCTTTTGTTCTTCCAAATTGCATTTCTTCTTTTTATCACATTATACCCACAATCAATGCACAATTTAATGTGAAAGGTGGTTTAAGTGAGAAAAACTCTGTGAATTAGGACGGGTAACTACAATACTACATTATTTAACTATATTGATTACCCTACATAAAACAACATGGAAAAGTGAAAATTGGACTTTATTTATCAGATAAGGGAAGGCATTGTGGGACTAGCCGTGAAAGGGAACTTTGAGATGGTCCAGGAATGAAGTTAAATGGGCAAAACTCCTATATGGTAAGAAAGCAAGTAGAGATGGCCTAAATAAATCCATTCACAGAATAATGACATCTAAATTTGTGGTACTAAACCGTTATATTCCAGCACAAGGTTAAGCATAGAAAGAACATAAGTTGCTTAAAAGACAAGCTGTTAAAGATAGGTAATTGAGAAGCTGAGGTCTTCATGAAACACCACGCTAATCCTATCCTAACGGCTTGCACAGGAATTTACAGAACTAGAAGCCCCCTGAACTAGTAAGGAATAGAATACAAGTACTATTTATCCACGATCCTCACAATCATTTTTACCTAACTCTGATATTGATATCTTGATGCAGCCTGCTCACGTCTTCCTAACTTTGGCAACCTAAATCTGAGGACCAGGTTTATCTCCTGCCTAGACGACCTAGTTCCATCCTTCACCCTTGGTTCTTTGGGATCTCCACCACCCCTGGCTCTTTGATCTCCCAAAATCTCACTAAGAACTTGAATTCCATATGATTTTTTTCCATTCTTGCTTTTGTTTTATTGCTTTTTGTTAATGAAAATTTAGCAGTTGAAAAGCCTGTTCGAGACTCTATTCTTACTACATACATTTAGTCCTTTCCAGGAAATGTAGTTGAAAAAGTACGAAAACATTCTTGGGATCTCCCAATCCCTCTGTCGCAGGCTCGAACTGCCAAATGGCAGCGGAAAGTTAAAACTTTTAGGATGGAAAGAATTCTTAAAGAGTTTATAACTTCTTCCAGGTTATCAAAGCAAGATAAATTGGCTTTGTATGGAAGGACTTCAAGAATATTTAGCATCTGCTTGACTGCGCCTGATCAAATCATCCAGGTGTGGAAGTGAAACTTCTCGAGCGTAGAGCTACCGGCCAGTGTTCCTTTCCATCTGAACCTCCAATGCCCCCATCGAATTAAAAAGAGAAAAGAAAAGTGGTTTGCGTATTAACAATTACAGAAGCAACAAGAAAACATACCCCTCCACTAACAACTATTAATTGGCATGCAAACCAGCTGCACTATGCAAGCATGCCAGACAAAGACACACAAACACTTTAGAAGAGTTGAAGACAAACAATAAGAGTATATGTCGAATAAATTTTCAAGCAATCAAACAAGGCATGTAACAAGATATATAGACATTTAACTTGAAGTTGAAATGACAGAAAAGGAGAGAGTGAAAAACGGCTTACTTCACTCTCTCAAAATTAAGACCCATTCTTTTAGCCCCATCTTGACCTGTAAAAAACAATACATTTCCAAAAAAGAATTAGAAACTTGCAAATGATATGCCTCCATTAATAGTTGAGACAGCAAAGAAAAACATCGAAAAACTGAAAATGCTCAGAGCTTTCACAAGTGACTTCGTCAAGCAATTTCGAGCATTGCCTTTTCTTTTCTCTGTAATTCTCTATTTTAAACAATTGATCACTTTCGTAATTAAGCCAACAAAACGATTTCTTCATCTCTTGGGTCCAAAAATTTAACATGAGACATAGTAATAGTATTTCTTTCCCAATAAATTACTCATTTATCAAACAATTACTTTATATTTAGTTGCCACCAAAACATAAGGAAAAGAAACCCAAAAAAAAAAAAAAAGGTCAACATTATTTTCCTTCAAAACCCATTTCAAGTATTAGATTAACTACTTTTATCTTCAATATGACAAGCCATGAAAGAAACAATAAACAACCTTTTAATTAATCATTTATTCTAATTGTTTTTAAGCAGATATATATATATATATATATATATATATATATATATATATTTGAGTGTAAGAAAGCGAGGGCAGACCTGGCAATGGATTGTAGTAACCAAGAACTTCAAGATGTTTGCCATCTCTAGGGGATCTGCTATCAGCAGCCATAACCCGATAAAATGGCTGGTTTTTGCACCCGAATCTCGACAACCGGATCCTCACCACCATTTTGGGTTTCAGAAATTGGAAGTGCCTTGCCTGCTATGGATGAATTCCGAGTCACAGACACAGCGAGTTATTGATTGAGCTAGAGGGAAAACAGGGAAAGCGGGGAAGAGAGCAAAGCTGTCGCTAGGGGTTTTGTTCTGTGGTTTTAGCACAGGATTTTTAAAATTATTAAATAAAAAATTGGGTTGGGCTAACTGTCTGACTTAAATAGGCCCAATTTACAATCCCAGCCACAATAATTGTGGGGCCATTCATCATCTATTTAGTTTCTTTCTGATTTGATGACATTAGCAAATATTGTTGGCATTATTTCAAGATTTTTTTTGAAAAGGATTTATCCCCTGGAAATTTTCTTCTTCACTAATTTTATAAAGAACATAAAAATTTTGTTCCACTTTTTGTTCGGTTCTTACATAAAGAGTTCTAAAGGAGGAAAAAAAGATTATATTTCATAATTAAGGAAAAAAGAACATGAAATACTCATTGCACAAGCCTTAAAAGCTCCCTTTACTCTAGCTTTGGCCGTTGGAAAAGCTATTTGAAATGTTTATCCCTATTTTTTAGTTAGAAAACCTCCCTCTCATCCATGCTGTTGTTTGCAAAAGAAATGCTAGCAAAACTCTTTCCATAAAAATATCCACGTTAATTATTTTTAACTATTTCTACATCCAAGCAAAAAAAAAAAAAAATAGCAAACAAAAGATAACTATTGTTTTATGTTCTTAGAAAATTTTTAAATTGCAATCAATTTCATATTATTTAAAAACAAAATAAAATATTCATCTTTTTATTTGCTTAGTGATAAAATTACCTGAAAAATCATTGAATTGAAACCAATAGTTGAGATTTACCTTCCTGTCTCTTTCTTGAATACAAACTCTGAAGTGTTCTATTTAATAAATAAATAATTATCCATGACATTGGTGTTTTATGCAAAAACAAAAGAAAAAAAAAGAGGTATTTTAGTTTTTTAAATAATATGAGATTAGTTGTAATTTAAAATTTTTTAAAAAATACAGAATATCAATTATTTTATAATTGCGATTTTTTTGTTTGGATGTTAAAAATAGTTAAAAAAGTTTGACATAAATAGTTTTATTGAACAAATGTTTGAGAGAAAGTGTTAAAAAACAAATGTTTAAGAGAAAATGTTAAAAAAAAAATTATTGTTAGCATTCCTCTCGCTTGCAAGTGGGCATGGCATGCCGCTATCTATGGTGTTTGGAGGCAAAGAAATCAGAGAGTACATGAATAGCAGGTTCTACATGAAATGCTACTTGAGAGTGGATCTAGTTTCTTCTTATGGTTCTGGTTTAGCATATACTGTGTGCTCTGGAATAAGGTGAGCCCCTCCCTGCTTATTGCTATTTTTATTAAAAAGAAAAAAAAACATTTGATGCGTTTAAGAGGCTGATTTAAAGAGGCACAACAAGAATACCATCTTTGCTTGCCCAATAACTTTCTGTCGCAATACAACCAAGAAGACATCAATCAGCTTTAGAAAACAACAGGAATGCCATAGTTGCTTGCCCAATAACGAAATTGAAACATTGCATTTTACATCTCCTGTTCATTCAGCGTTGCTTGCCCAATCGACTCCTCTATCTACTTTAGTTTTCAAACTAGATTTTTTATCCGCGTCACGCTACGAGATTTGGATAAAATATATAAAATCATTTAAAAAATTATTTTAGTTTAATAATCTGTTTTATGGTAAAACGTAATTATAATTTTTTAATCAAAAATTTTTATTTAACTATTTCTTATTTGTTTTCTTTTAAATTTTAGAAATAAATAATAAGGAAATAAATTATTGCTTTCTTTAAAATTTTAATGCCTAATTAATTATTGGTTCTCTTAAAATTTTAACATCTAACATTATTAAGAAATGGAAATTAAAAAAAAAAAGTTCAATTTTTAGGAGAAAAAAAAAGAGGGGGCAGGGGCCAGCCATTTACTATTCAAATGAACAATAAATGGGAACAAAACGGGAAAGAAGGCCAGCTCGGCCAAAAAAAAGAAAAGTAAAAATTTAAAAAAAAAAAAGCACTGTAGCAATGGACAGTTATTAACACTGTTCATTGCTACGATGAAAAACTATTTTAAAAAGTTCAATTTTTAGAAGAAAAAAAAAGGAGGGGAGCAATCGTTTACTATTTAAATGAACAATAAACAGGAACAAAAGGGGAAAGAAGGCTATCACAAGGCAAAAAAAAAAAAAAAAGTGAAAATTAAAAAAAAAAAAAACAAACAAACCAAAGCACTATAGCAATGAACAAGTGATTATCATTGTTCATTATTATAGTGAAAAACCATTTTACTTTAGTTTATAGTATAATTAGCTTTTTTGCTGCAAGTTGGATAAAATATATAAAATTATTTAAAAAAAATTATTTGAATTTGATAGTACGTGTTATGATGTAAATCTATAAAAATATATAAAATCAAAGGTGAAAAATTTTATTTATAATTTTTTAATAAAAAATTTTATATTTAACTATTTCTTATTTGTGTTTTTCATAATTTTTCTTTAGAAACAGGATTTATCCTTGTTAATCCATGGATTATTAACTAAAAATAAAATTAAATAATTGTTTAAAAAAAGGCTTTAGTATTTCATAAGATTGTGTCGAAAAACAAAAATAACAATTATTAAAAGCTTACATAGAATTGAACAAATAATTTTTTTATTTTTATTTAATGTTAATGAGAATATCGATTTTTGAAAAAATATGAATTTAATTTTTATATATTTATTTACAAAAAAATAAATTATATTAAAATAATAAATTATATTAATTTGAATCATTAAGTGATTAAGCTAAAACATAATTTTAATTTAAACATAATTTTAATTATTTAATTTTAAATAAGTTAATTTTAAAGTATTTAAAAATAAATAAATAAATAGTAAATGCTTAGCGTAGTAGTTGCGGAATTAATTTCTAAAGAAACAACAATTCAATATTTTATACTAAGTGAGTTCAAAGTTTTTAGTCTAAAAAAAAATACTATATATATAAAAAAAAATTTTGCAAGGAATCTATTGACTAAATTTGAAGTTAATAGACTAAAATAAAAATTATTACAAATTTGATTTCGATTAATTTTGATTATATAAAAAGGAAAAAAATTAATAAATCATGTGAATTCTTTTTTTTCCTCCTTAAATAATTTTTTATTTCTATACTATGCATGGTTAGTCCTTGAATATAGGGCTCACATGCAAAGCAACCATCTTCCTTTTATTTTTTATATTTGACTTTCAACTATTAATTAAGTAATTTGAGTTTTTGTTTTCTTAAAAAACTGAGAAAAGATTATTTAAAATACACTTTTAATGTAAAAATGTATTTCGGACAAATTTTATATATTAATCATGCTACTATAATTTAAAAATTATCTAAATATATTTCTCAAAAGAAAAAATAATCATATTCTAAGAATTTATTTCAAAATCCATACATATAAAAAAATAAATAAAAATTATCAGTAACTATAATTTTAAATTAATTGGATGAGAATTTTAAAACAATGACAAATTAAAGTAGTAAATTTTAAATAATAAAAATACTTAACAAAAAATACTAAAAAATAAAATGGGAACAAATCACAATATAATTAAAGTTTGAAATTAAAAAATATATAGAGAAAAATTGTGGACCATAAAATTTTAAATTAATTGGATGAGAATTTTTAAAAAAAATGACAAATTAAAGTAGTAAATTTTAAGTAATAAAAATAATTAACAACAAACAATAAAACAAAATAAGACCGAATCATAATACAATTAAAGTTTGAAATTGAAAAAAAAAGTGTAGAAAAATTAAGGACTAAAAACATATTTCAGAAAAATTATATATATTAATCATGTCACTATAATTTAAAAATTATCTAAATCTATTTTTCAAAAGAAAAAATAATCATGTTCCAAAAATTTATTTCAAAATCCTTACATATAGAAAAATAAATCAAAACTCGTTAGTAAATATAATTTTAAATTAATTGGATGAGAATTTAAAAAAAAATAACAAATTAAAGTAGTAAATTGTAAATAATAAAAATACTAAAAAAATACTAAAAAAAGGACCAAATCACAATACCATTAAAGTTTAAAATTGAAAAACAAAATTGTATAGAAAAATTGAGGTGCATATAATTTTAAATTAATTGAATGAGAATTTTAAAAAAAATGACAAATTACGGTAGTAAATTTTAAATAATAAAAATAATTAACAAAATGGGACCAAATAGCAATATAATTAAAGTTTGAAATTGAAAAAAAAAATAGAGAATTTAAAAAAAAATGACAAATTAAAGTAGTAAATCTCAAATAACAAAAAAAAATACTAAAACAAAATGAAACTAAATCACAATACAATTAAAAATTGATATTGAAAAAAATATATATAGAAAATTTGAGGATCAAAGTGTTACAAAAATATCATGAATAGTAAAAGGAATAATAATTTTTGTGTGTGTGAACAATGCTTCAAATAGTGAATAAATAGTAATCAATGGTTTTATTTTAGTTTTATGTATAATTTCCTTGTTCATTCCCAAAGTGGTGTTTGTCCGATGAGACCTATTTAAGGAGGGGGTCATGAGATAGAGTAAAACATTCTTATGGTCTCGAGTTAAGGATCTCGTTAAGGGTCGATTAACGAAAAAAATCAATTAGCTTTCCTTTGTTCGAGTTTCAATTCTTTCGTGAAAAACCTATTGTGAACGGATAACAATGGATGGTTTCTTTTAAAGACTACCAACTCTCTTAGGTTTTTCCTAACTGAATTATTCGATACTTTTATTCGTAAAGCATCCGCTCTTTATATAGTAGAAGACTCGAAAAATAAAGACAAACTTAATAAGCTATTGTCTAGACCGACTCATACTAACATAAAAAGTCTTAATTAAAATATCACACCAATTAGGATTGTCATATCATTTTCATAATCAAATTTATTCTTAACAAATAATTAATAAATATCCACAATATCTTAGTTATCCTCATTGCGTTGTCGCCTTCTTCTATACTGCTCGATCCACAATATTACACTCTTCCTAGACATTGAACTTGTCCTCAAGTTCAAAATGAGGATAAGTGTATTATAAGAAATTGATCAATTATTTTGTAGCATCATCGAATGCATTCCTAGTCCCTATTATGGTGTGGAGGAAGATTTCGAGATCCACAACGGTCCGGTTCCTCATCGAAGTCGTCCACCACCAAGCGCAACGGACTTTTATATCGATGCTCGACAATGAACAATCCATCACAATTGTAAAAAAAAATTTAATTAAAATACCAAACCAATTAGGATTTTCATATCATTTTCATAATCTAACTTATTCTTAATAAATAATAAATAAATATTCGCAAAATCTTAGTTTTCTAATTGTGCTACCGCCTCCTTTTATACTGCTGATCCACAATATTACACCCCTCCTAGATATTGAACTTGTACTCAAGTTCAAAATGAGGATAAGTGTCCGATAAGAAATTGATCGATTATTTTGTAGCATCATCGGGATGCATTCCTAGTCCCCGTTATGGCATGAAGGGAGATTTCGAGATCCACAACGGTCCGGTTCCTAGTCGAAATGGTCCACTAATAAGCATAAAAAACGTTTATACCGATGCCCAACAAAGAACGATTCATCACAATTGTAAGAAAGTCTATTTGCTCGCCTCTCCGCCATCTTTGCTCTTGATAACTTTTTAATAAAATGCGTTGATGTACATCCCGTGTCAAAAACCATAGGCAAACTTCCTCCCATCTATTTTGATTCATGGTTGATAGTGAGTGAAAGAGTTGAACTTGTCTTTTTTGGAGAAAGCCAATTAGAAAGAGTGCTTCTCACTCTAATTTTGTCGAAGAGTTACAGTTTTTTGTCAAAAGCCTAAACTAAATTCATAACTGTAACCAAATTAGAGAGTTGCTATATCTCAACATCCACCCATAACGTCTCTGTAAGTCCTATGGTAAACAAATCAACTTGTTGATCACCCTTGACAGAAATAGCCCTAGTTAGGAGTGTTTGAAATTGACTTTGACATTCCTCTACTGTGCCAAATTGTTTCATAGTAATTAGCTCCCTAACTTACTGCTCAATGGAGTGCTAAATCTCAAAGAACAATAGGATCTGAATTGATCCCAAGTGATATTCGACTTTTATTATTCTAGTCGAAAAAAACCATATTTAAGCCTCACCCATCATATGAAAAGTGGCAAAGCCCACCTTGTCTTTCTCTTTTAATCGTTGGCTCGTTCACAGCAATAAAGTCATCCCAAAAGGTCCTCCATACCACTATAAGAAAATTCTAACCTGGGGTACCTAGGAAACACGATGCTGCTATTGGGTCCTTCGAATGCCACTACTACTGGCTGTTATATCAGTTCACTTTTTGACTGCCTTACCCTTGTCCAACGATTGAAACTCCAACCTCTAAATAGCCTTCATATCTACGCTTAGTTTGCCCAATTCCTAACCAACCATGTTTGAACAACCCTAGCTGATAGTTCTTCTTCATTACTCATGACAATCGATTCTGATATCAAATTATTATGATCCCAAGTTAAGGATCTTGTTAACCGATTAACAAAAAAATCAATTAGTTTTTCTTTGTTCACGTTTAGATTCTTCCGTGAAAAAACTACTGTAAACATATAACAATGAATGGTTTATTTTAGAAACCACCAACTCTCTTAGGTTTTTCTTGCTAAATTATTCAACACCTTTATTTATAAAGCATCCAGTCTTTATATAGTAAAGGTGGCTGAAAAACAAGGAAAAAACTAACAAGCTATTGCCTAATCAGACTCATACTAATATAAAAAATCCTAACTAAAATATCACACCAATTAAGACTCTCATATATCATTTTCCTAATCTGAATTATTATTAATAAATAATAAATAAAAACAATAAATAAATATTTATAAGATCTTGGTTTCCCTACTTGCGTTACTATCTTTTTTATACTGCTGATCTACAACAAGCATTCTCATTAAACACAAAACATGTACCGTCCATCATGAACTAGCCGAACTTATTCCATGAACAACAATACCTAACTAGCTTACCCGAAGTTCTGCAGCAACAAATATGAAAAATGAAACAAAGAAAAGGATGGGTCAATAGCCGTGCTCTCTAATCGAACAATCCGGATATGAATTCATTCCTTTGATCTATTCTGTTCCAGTCGAAACAAATTCATGGCAATTCTTACCGGGTTTAAGGTCAGCTATCACATTTGAGCACTGGCAAAACACACCTTGTAGGGACCTCATCAGTAAAACTAACCAGTAAACACAACTATCACAATGCTACAGCCATGGCATGGCAAATGTAGCTCCAAAAGACTAACAAAATCTTTGTAATTACCAACACTAATGCTAAAGATCATATCAAATCCATCATCCATAAACGATAGCATAGTGTATATTCCTAATCCACCGCAGCTAAGAATTACAAAAACATCAGAATCAATCTGCAGCGGCAAGCTAACAATCTCACCACCTAAACACTAAATATCTTAATCTCGGTAAGAAACAGAAAATGGAAACATACTCAAAAGTAAATTCAGTACCAAGATTTTTCATTCTAAAATTCCCTCCGTTCCTAATGATAATAAATATCGTTGTCAAGAAAATACTAGTTCAAACATGCAGCACATTTTATAAGAAATATCCACACACAAACAAGAACAAATAAATATCTAAACGGAGAAACTTGCAGTAGCAACCACAAAAACAAAGAAAAATCTACAACAACTCACCATTAGTTTTCCTTCAACATCTAATTAACGAGTGCTGATAAAGTCATCAAACAACAAAACAAAACACGAAATTCTCCACAGGAGAGAATTACAGCACAATACTAGAAAGTCCCAAATCATCCATAACTGTTTACGCAGAGCATAAACTAAACTATTTCCTTTTCGGTATTTCAGTCATTATAATAAGATATTCGGTGCAAAAACTAATCACTCTTGATTCTCCTGTTGCTGCTGATAGTTCAAAGTCCTCCTGAACAGCATGATATGTGGCTCCGGGCGATGAATCGCATAATGGACCCACCCTCGGCTCTGTTGAACTCCAATCGCACGCCACTCATTCTACAGAAACCAAATCAACGAAAACTAAATAAAATTTCTTAAAGCATCAATTATTACGCGAGAAAAAAAGTTTAAAATTTTGTTTTTATTTTATTTTACAGTTCCTATAAGGATTACAAACAGAAAAATAGTTACAAAAATCAAACCACAAAAAAAAATTACAATAAAAAAACCCTAAAATTGGAAGGAAAAAAAAACTTACTTCAGAGAGGAGGCGATTCTTCGGGAGAAGTTTGGCGACTTCAGGAGGAAGCACCACATGCCTGTGAGATTAAAAAACAAAATTAAACTTAAAATCTTCCAATCCAAACAGAACTTAATAATAATAACAATAACAATAAGAAGAACAAGAACAAGAACAAGAAGAATAAAAAACACCTGTACTCAAAAGTGTCATCAAAATACTTCTCGGAGTACTGGATCTGACCCATTTTTAAAGGCCTTTTTTTTTTTGCTTCTAGAAATTATTCCACTGATTTTCACGATCTGCGAAAAGAAGAAGAAACAATTCGAGTAAAAAATAAGAAATTAAACAGTTTCGGCAAAAAAGAAAGAATAATCCGTTGTGCAGTGTGGTTACCAGAGAGTAAAAGGGCGAAGAAGAGAAGGACAAAATGATTGTGTGAGAGCGTACTAGAGGAGAGGAAGAGTTTTATTTATTTATATATATTATATAGTGGTATTTATTTATGTGGGGGTATTACCGGAAAGTAAATATGCTATGCTTCCCATAAATCTGATTTATGTTTTTTATTTTTATATATGGAAAAGAATAAGAGACGTTTTTGAATTTTGAATTTTGAATTTCTCCCGCTTTTGTCCTATCCTCTTCCCAGTTAAATTAAAGTGAACTAATAATTGTAACGTTTCAAAAAGAGAGTGAGAAAAGGAATAGCTTGTACCAAGATTTAATGACCGTTTTTGTCCCTGAGTTATTGGAATCGTTGCATATTGAGACTTATATTATTAATTTTATCTTTAAACTATCATGTTTTGAGTACGTATGATTTTTCTATTTGATTTTATTGTTATTATTGATCAAAATTCTTTTGAAAAAAAATTAATTTTTGATATTTTGAGATGAAAATTTTTAATTATACTAATAAAAATTCAATCGATTTTTATAAATAATTCCAAAAAAAAATTTGAATTAGAAAATTATTTTATTTATTTCTTGAAAATTCAATAAATTATGAAAAATAAAAAATAAGATGAAATTATTTTAATCTGTTTTAGAGCCTTAGGGAGGTCATATAAATTTATATTAGTGAGTTTCTCAAAATTTTTGCATATGTGACTTTCAATCAAATCATATTAAAACCAACCTTGGAGACACCTACCCATATAGCCATTCAATATTTCTTGACCCACTATTAGCCAAACTACTTGGGTCCAATAAAATTTAAAATCATTCCAAATTATTTGTTATTTTTTTTAATTTTATAAATATTTAATATTTAAAAAATTTTAAAAAAACACTTCTTGATCTAAAAAAATATATATTGATTTTTTATTAGGATTCATGAAAAAATCAGTTTAAGATACTAAAAATTGAATTTTTGTTTAGAATTTAGACTTTTCTTTAAAAAGGTTTTTGGTCAATGTTAAGAGTCAAATCAAATGAAGGGCCATATTTCTCCAAAATATGATAGTTTAAAGATAAAATGACTAAATTGATAATATATGATTCAATATGTGGTAACCTCAATAGTTTAAGGACAAAAACTGTCATTAAACCCTGTGTTCCTCAACATCTAGAACTTTCTCTCGTTTCCTTCTCAAACTGATCTCAATAACGTCCCCTAATTATCGAGGCAGTATCAATTTTGCCTTCAATCAATTGTTTGTATTAATTTTACTCTCAAATTTTCAAAATTTCTCAACCAAAACCTTTCATCCTCTTTTTTATAGCATTCCATTCCGAATTACACTCTTTAAAAACAAAATGATGTTATTTTATAGCAATTCTACCAGAAATCTTTAATTAAAAAATCAAAATAATTTAAAAGGTAAATTCATAAAAAATAATAATTTGGAGATAAAATTAATACTACCCTAATAATTCGTGGATGTACTTGAGATTTGTCCTTTTTTATTCTTTTATTTATTTATTTTTACCTTCAAAATTCTGTGTCGACTCAGACTTCTGTTCTCTTTTACTTCACAATTTGGGAGACTGTATTCTCAATGTTGCATACAAATAAAAAATTTACTTATTGCTGGTGAAAATATATTGATATTTGATATAAATTGATACTAACAAAACAGAAATTATAGAATACTTCTAAAGTCCGTATCAACAGTTACTCTATCGCATAAAGAATAAAATATAGACTAAAAGAGAACATAAAAATAGATGAAGAATTTTTAAAAAGTATTTTTAAACCTATTTATCATTATTATCAATTGATATACATTTCCTTCTATTTCTCCCAGAAAAAGCACATTTCCTTCAATTTAATACCAGTTAAGCCATACACAAAGCATGCAGGTGTATAGGAGGATAACTAATACTTATCCAATCAATAGGACACAAGAAGGCCTAACAGCTCTGGCTAGCCAATCACTGAGACAGAATTAGCATTTCTTAACTACTACGAAAAAGCTCGAAACAAAATCATCTGAAGGCAACAAAAGCAGCTTTTCTGCAATCAATTTTAGAGGCTCAAAATTTTGGAAATTAATCCAATGTATTTATATATATATATATGCAAAAGCTGCTCCCGACTTTTGTATATCTAATCAACTGTCTAACATCCTCCTTTTTTCCTTTCCTTTAATTCTACAAAAAGAATTATAACAGCCTGTGAGCTCCAACTACGAACATCTAAAGTACGCTTCACTGTACACAAATGCCTAATAAAGATCCTGTACAGAAGGAAAAGGCTGTCCAAAAAATTTTGCTTTCCCACCTCTTCAACCAAAAGTATCTTGCTTCGCCATGACATTCAGCCACCTTCCGATTTACCGACAATTCGGCACTTGGGAACCGGCTTTTGCAGCATTAATGCCCCTTGAAACACCATTATCTGGTACCTTTTCCTGTATTCCATCAGCTGAAAAACAACACTCATCATGTGTCTGTGCGCAGGCACACAAAAGAATGCATGCATAAATTGTGTATGGTCACATAAACACAAACGTACCTCATCTTGAGTTATGGTGCTAAACCCGAATTTGTTTGTCCAAATGGATTCAACTTCTTCAGCTGCAGGAAGTACAAGATTCTTCACATTGAGAAACCCAAGTAGCTTTTCAATACAAGTAAATAAGGTCTGAAAATAACCCTGCAAGAGGAGAGAAGAATATATGTTTCAGTCAGAAAATTTTTCTCCTAGTATAAAAACTGATTGGGCTATGACTGCACAAGTACAAACAAAAATATAAACACATCAACACATCTTCACACATCTTCGGTGAAATAAAGTGTCAATAATGCAGCATATTACCTGTCCTTGCGATTTGCTACTAGTTGCAACTATAGGCAGCTCAGCCAGTTCCTGGCCAAAAATTCTTACAACTGCTGCTGACACTACCACATGGCTGCATAACATGTAAAAATTATCAGTGTATAATTAGAAGTTCTACAAAATAATGTACGAAAGGTTCATCAATGATTCTTACTTAACCAGCAATACAGCACAATACATTCCACCGAGATCCTGCCCTTTCATGTTCCCGCTGTCAAGACAATTAACTCAGTCACAAGCAAATGATTTGGCACAAACAGCAATAATCATGCAGAAAGACAATAAAGATTTCCAACATTTAATATAATAACCAAAAACCATATAATATGTACACTTGTTGCACCCACAAAATATGCAGAACTGCTTACCCTCTAACGATGGACGGGATGAAGTCATGGTCATCACGTTTGCGTTTGGAATTATCCACAGTTATTGGAGCAAAGCGCTCCTAAAATCCAAAAAAAGAACAAAAAAGAACAAAAAAAATTGGTTAGTTCTGAATAGTGATGAAGCTTCCTCCTTGTTCATGACAAAGAATGAACTGAAAAATATTTAAAATTTTACAGAACGGAAACAACTGCTGGAGTTGTAGACCTCCTTAAGAGTATTCCACAAAAATTGAAGGAATGTGGTGTGTGAGAGTTAACAAAGTGAAGTGAAGAATGGTTCTCGCAAAATTATGAACAGCCAGCAATGTTCTTATCACAAGGACTCACATGGAAAATGGCAACAGCCTCAGACAGTAGGGCTTCGGTAACATCAGAAGTTTCTGTTTTCTTACTAAGAAGCCTCCATCTTATATCATCACCACCACAACTCTCTGAGGCACTTTCCTCCTTCTTCTTCTTTATAAAATTCAGGGAAGAATCTGGAAGCTTCTCTTCCCCACGAATAACCAATTTCTGCAAAGCAGAATGAATTGTTTCACATCCTGGGCAACAGAACCACTTTCCTGTTGGCAACTCCTGTTATACAATCGAGTCAGCATTATTTTCATTAAATAAACACTAAATTTTTTTGAGTGATAAGCACACAATATTACCTTCAGATCTTGCATGTTATGTTCCTTTAAACAGCCAACATGGAACTCCTTCTCACACTGCAGAATCAAACACATATTAGCACAAACCTGAAATAAAAACACACACAACAAATACAGAAGGCAAATTGTTTTACAAGTACATATAAAATTTGATTTGCAAAGCATACCTGATCACAAATAATCACAGTGCGAGGACCAAACGTCCTTTCAAAATCATGACCTCTGCAAAGGTCAAGAGCATGTTAAAAAATTACAATTGGAAACATGCGAGAGAACTACTCAGATCAGTGCTAAACACAACATCCAAATTCCAAAACTCTTACAGAACAAGACACATAAACAGAAAGTCCATTCAAATTCTAGGTAGTAGGATCAATTAATTCAACCTGCAGAAAACACATCCACCAACTTCAGCCTCGAAAGTTTTGACAATACGAATGCATCTCCTGGTTATCTGTTCTATTGGATCAACTCCTGCAACCCTTCCTGCCGCTATAGCATTGGCATTACGCTCCACAAATTTCTCTTTCTCAAAAGTATTCAGGCAATATTTGCAGTACCATTTACCCTTGGGAATTGAAGGTAGAGAAAGACATTCTGCAAGGCATAAATAAATATTAGAAGCAAACAAAGGTCGGTAAGCAACCAAATTATCTTTAGATTGCACAAGCAGACCAAATAAACAAAGCTGCAATCTATATCTACAATCCTCATTTTTCATTTGCATTGCAAGCTAAGGCCTGAACCAGCAGATCAGTTTAAGATGGAGGCTAGACCAAAACATTAATGCATACAGGCTTGCCTGAACATGCGCACACAAAAATCTTTATGCATGCACCTATACATAGTAGTATCTCGCCGATACACTGAATGAGAAAGAATACCCTCCATGCGTTTGTTCAGATGCAAGTGCCTCTTGGAAATATATTTCATGAAAATGTGCAGCGTGTGACATTTTTTGGCATATCTCATCTCTTTTATTGTTTACAAAAACCACAAATTTTCAGGTTAGAAGCTCCTGCTTTTTACTCATCTTTCACAGGAAGACACGATGAGTTTCTGACACCTTTCATCTTTTCCCATTCCCATTCTTCTAACCAACTCCAGGCCCATGGTACCATCACCTTTGAGAATACTACCGAACCCACTGCTATTTCATACTTAACAAACAAATCTCCAAAATTAAAACATTGAGGAATACTTGAAAGTGATAGTTGTTGACATCAAGAATCCCGCTGTCAACGTTAGTCATATCCATCATGTGAGGGAAGTTATAATGGGTCTACCAATATCTGTAGTGGATGTGTAACAATGAAATACACACGAAATCATTTGTTAGTTTGACTGAACCAAATTAAGGGGAAAATTTTCACAAGAAATTATCATGTTGGTATATGAATGATGGTGATATCAAAAGATATTCACGCTGAGTCTAATCAATGGTATCCGTAATGAATAAGATTGCAATGGACATATATCGATTCATCTTTCATTTTGATTAAACAACATTTATAGTGGCAAACTTCCACAATGTGGAGTGTAATTTAAGGGATCATAAGAAACATTACCGAGGTTAACCAGTAAAATAGCAAACCAGAGATCAGTATTCAGACCCAATTAGTGTGATTTATAATTTTTCAGAAACAAAAAACACAGTATACTTGACAACTCAAGGCTTAGTAAAGCACCAATCTCCTTTTATTTCTTAGTATGTTAAATAACTCAAGTACCATAATAATGATTTTAACTCATACATTGCAGCCATCTGGGAGTATAAAACACAAAAAAAAAAAAAAAAAAAAGGCTAGATCCATCTAATTGCTTCTCAATAAAGAACCAAAAAGGTAAAGCATACATCTAACCTATCAATGCTCTGTCCAAACAGTGAGCTAGACACCCTGCTTACCTATGAAAAGTTTTGACACTCTCCTCAACAAATACTACCAATTTTACACTATTTCATGATAACTACATTTTTCCTGTATCTGCTCTATGTTTTCTATTTTCTCAGGATGCAACTTCCCTTTTTCTAAGAATCTAATCTCATCTCACATATCTTATTCCAGAGATGCCACTAAGGAATTCCAGAGCAAAAATAGTGCAGTCTAACTTAATTAATTGCATTAAGACAATAAAAGCAATAGTCAAAGTAGAGCAAAACTTCACCTTGGTGAAAAGCTCTTGGGCATGCATCACAACACAAAAGTTTCCCACCATCTCTACAGATCTGGCATAGGTCATCATTCTCTTTGGTAGAGTGCCTCCGGCCTTTTGATATAGATATTGCTAATTCATGAAGAGACACGCCGTTTGATGTGTAAATGTGTAGGTAACTGTCCAAACAAAAGTTTAAGTCAAAAGGAAATGTTGAAGTAACAAGAAAAGGAGATAAAGAGAAAATTTAATTATTTGTCCAAATTTCCCATAACCTCCGACAAGAGATCAGATATTTAAATCATGCCATGTGGAATAAAATAATTAAATCGTGGACTTTTATCATTAATCACCATTCAATCATGTCATGTGGAATAAAAAGATTAAAACTTGGACTTTTATATCAATCATCACTCCAAGCAATAATATGGAGCCAAGAGGCTCAAGACCACCTAAGTCTGAACAAATAAACACTCACGGTTTTCGACGCGATGCCCAACCAGCATGGGCTTCAAATTGAGAAGGGCTAATCTGCTCATCAAATATCAAAAATTAAATCTCTGACCAAATAAATACCAGGGTAACAAGAAATCAGCAGAAGGAAGTTTACCTCAGAGTTGCAGCATGAACAGAAAATGCCAAATCCCTTCTTGTAGCCTACCAGCAATTTCTGCCCAACACATTTATACTTAGAAAACAACAAACATTAATCAAATCTATCAAATTTTGGTGTGTCATCATAGTAGCACAACCTTTCCCCGAGAGTAATATCCAACTTCGGTTCCATCTGGCAAGATCTCTTCTTCAAAAACCAGCTTATGCATTCGAAGATCTCTATTAAAAAAAGAACATCATAAGAAACAGTTAAAAAAATTCAAATGCTGAACTTAGAAACCCCCAAAAAAAAGAAAAAAAAATATGAAACACAAGAAGAGTGCCCACTTTTTTGTAAGTCTCCCTTGACTATTGCTTCCTGATGGGCTAGACTTCAACACATTGCCAGATGACTCCGGAACTGGACATGGTTTTAGTGTTCTGAAATAATACCAAGTAAAGACATAAAACTTGAACTAATGATATAAGGTAGGGACAGTAAAGGAAGCTGCAATCTATTTTATCATTAACAAAAAGAATATCTGTTGTAATATCAATAGTTAAATGCCCATGCAATACAGCTATCTAACATGCACAAATGTATTTATTCGGACAAGTGTATTATTCGATGATGTAAAATTACTGATTACACATACAGCTAATATTTGAACAAAAATCCAGCTAAAGACCTGTGTCCTATAATGGAAAGGCAAAACAGATTTGACACCTTTGTAATCTACCAAAAACAAGAATCCACAAATATATTTGCTATTAATTAAATGAATAAAAGGTGGATTCATCTTTATCGTTGATGGCACAACAAGTTCCAACGCACAAGTACTAAAGTTACATGAATAAATGTATTGCAACAATTCTCAATGGGTTTCGTAGCTGGTAAAATGCTACCACCAAATGTAAAAGTCTAGATCATATGCAATCATTGTTAATAACCATACAAATAATTTATCCAATAGAAACAGGGAGGTTTATGAGGCACATCATATTTCATTGATCGCCTCCTCCACTGTCCATGCTGGAAAAAACATGTAAACAAACACAGCAGATATTGGACCTAGATAAATAAGACAGTGACCACTGACAGCAGAACAAACAGAAAATTTATTAAAGGAAATGGTGTTTGAATATCGTATCAATACAACTTTAGAAAACCATACCCTTCATTTTTTTCTGCTTTTGGTGCTAAGCTAGCTTGAAAATCTTTCAATTCCAAGCACTGACTACACAATACCTTTGATTTCCTGGTGCCGGCCCCTGTAATCGACCCTGTAATCCATCAAAAATGTCCAAACCAAGACAGTCAAGAATATTATACAGAATAAAATCTAGTGATATCCAATATGATAAAGAAAGAAACCTCTGCAGTTCAGACAGAAATTAGATTTCTTCAAAGGTGCAAAGCCAATAGAATGCTGAATAGCTTCATCCAATGTATCCAACGAAGAACTCTTGCATGCAATCATTACATCACGAAGTGTATTTCCATTCTCCAGGCTAATATACTCTGGTGGACGTTTATTTGCACTGCCCGCATGCAGCTCAAAAATACCAGGAGTAACAACCTATATTGGCAATTAAAAACAAAATGCACTCAATAATACAAGCAAATGACAAAGATTGGACTGAAAAATTGAACCAAAAAATAGTTCACATTTCAAAAGTATACACAATACTCACTTCCTTTCCCTTGCAAACATCACAGAAACATAAAATTCCAGATTCCTTGACCAGCCCATCCAACCCTTTCTCTCCAGGTCCCCTTACCTACAAGGAAAATTTATCCCAACTGAAGGCTGAAATAATCGCAACATCTCTAGTATTCATGAAAATTATTGTGGCATGTGAAATCATACCTTAGCACCCCGTAAATACTTCACCTTTCGTCCCTCGAGTATGCCTGAATCAAGAAGATCCTTCAACTTTGTTGGGAACTTCTTCGATCCATCAATGGTTAACATCTTCGTAGGTGTGGTGGTAATATTTGTAGCAGCAGCAGTAGATGAACTGCCTGTGTCATCGACTTTAACCCCATCAGAGGATGATATATCCACAGTCTCTTTCTTCGGCTTCAATGCTGACCTAGTAAACCTCCTTAAAGGTTTCTCCTCTTCCACCTTACATTTACTGTCACCATTAACTACAACTGCCTGCAATGATCCATTAACATCTACTCCCTCGCCATTTTTCACCGAAACCGAGAATAACCCACTAGTCCCTTCCTCGCATGCATCATCCTTCTTCAATTCACAGCCACTCTTGCTTTCCGAAACCCTATTCACAGTGGCCTTTGAATCTTCATCCATCAAAACTAACTCAATGGTCCCTTGCTCACATGCATCATCCTTATCGCCATCCTTTACTTCACCGTCACTCTTGCTTTCTAAAACCCCATTTTCTGCCATGTCCCCATCCCTCACAACTGCCACTGACCCATTAGGACTTTCCTCACACAAATCACCCTCCTCTTTCAAACCCTTCTCTAAAATCTGTACCGACCCATTATTCCTTTCTTCACATTCAACCTCCTTTTCCTTTGCTTCTTTAAATTCCTTCACTTCCATAATCTCCACATGAACGTTGTTCAATAAAGGAGCCACAGATTCAATATTTGCCTCCTCCAAATCAATAACAACCTTTTCAGCTTTTTCTAACTGACCACCCTTTTTTCTACCAGAGGCTTTCAACTTCTTACTATTATTACTGTTACTTCCATTGTTGCCTGGTGAGGAGAAGACACGAGAGGACCGTGTCCGGCCCAAAGACCCACAGATCTCAGAGTGGGCCCTGAAAGCAAACTCAAACTCTCGTTTGTGACCTGGCCGGACCTTCGCCACTGCCGTATCCTTGGCGTCTGTACCGTTTGCCATATTGATTGAAAGATCAAAAATCAAAGGGACTCTCTTTTGGGGTTTAGATTTGAAAAATATCAACAAACATTCATACTATGTTTATGGGTTTCTTATTTCTTTTTGGATTTGAATCTGATTTTCTGAAAGATGAAAGAAAAGTTAGGGTTTGTATTTGAAAGAAAGAAACAGAGGGTTGGAGAAAGAAACGAGAAGAAGTATAAAATGGATAGGAGAGACAATAGGAGAGAGACAGTGAGAGACGCATAGGTAAGACCACCTTAAATGTTTTAAAATGACAGAACTAGCCTTTTCTGCGTGCTGGTTGGATTCCTCGGTATTTATTGTTTTTGTTTTCTTTAATAAAATGGAGGAGTAAATTATAAATTAGTCCCTCTATTTTTAAAAAACGAATAAATGTGTTATTTTGTTTCAAAAATTAATTATTTAGTTTCTAATCAGTATTTATAATATTTAATTTTATATTATTTTATTTCATAAAATATCTATTTTATTAAATATTAAATATTTTATATTTTATACTTTTTTCTATTTCTTAAAACAAAAAATTAAAAAAGATTGAACAACAAGAGAATTTAAAAATATAAAGATTAAATCATTAATTTTTAAAATAAAAAAATTAATTCATTCATTTCTCAAAACTAAATGAATTAAATTATAATTTACTTTAAAATGGAAAATTGATTTGTTTTTAAAAAGTTTCATTTTTTTTAATTTAAAAGTGTGAAATTTTGAGCTTTTTACATTGAACAATTTTTATAAAAACTCTCGGTTATATCTATAAAACACCCTAGATGAATGGTGTATAAGAAGAAAATTAATTATTTTGAAGTTAGAAATATTTTCTTCACCAATAATGACCACTTATGTGTAAAACAGTTGACAACTAGGTTGTGTTTCTTAGAGGAAAGATAAGTTTTAAGAACTTATTTTCTTCATTCTTTCCTTATTTTTTAATATTTGTTTGGCGTTTAGAAAAAAGACAACGAAAAATGATAAAATATTTTTGAAAAAGTGTTTTTCGAGTTAAAAAAGAGAAAAAAATTTTCATCTCTCTCACGAGTCGTCTTGCTCTCACGTTATTCACCTCTCTTGATATATTTTAACGAGTTTTTTATGTCTTTTTTAATTAAAATATATCAAATTAATTTTCAATTATTTCTTATCAATTATTATTAATTATTTAATTATTTTTCTCTCGTTTCTACTAACATTTGATTTTTCGATTTATAAATCCATTAAATATTCTTAAAAACCATTTTTAGACCTTAAAATTATTTTTATAATAAATATTTTAATAATTTATTTCTATTTTTTTTTACATTTTCCTGAACACCACCTAAATTATGCTTAAATGATTAGAAATGATTATTACAATATTGCAATCATTTGTGAAAAAATTGAAACTAATTAATTCATTAATAAATACATTTTTTTCAACATTATTCATTTGCAACTAAATCAAAAATTTGTGACTAATTTTAATCAGTTGTAAAATTTTTTGATAATTATTGTCAATAACTAGTTATAAATTATTCTAACATTAATCTTTTGAAACCAAATACATAATTATCTACAAATGATAAATAACAATTTGTAAAATTATTTTTTAGACTAAATTATCAATTCAATTTCCAAAAAAAAAAAGAATTCTTAATTGAGTTACCAAAATAACAATACTATGATTATTTAGAAATTTTTTACTAAATTTGAACATTCACTCGATTTTGTCTCAAGTAGTTTTAATGAATTGATTTGATGGTTAAAAATATATATTTTATTTTTTGATTTTTTGAATTTAAATCTTATGGTTAGTATTTATAAAAATTTATTAAATTTTGCTAAATACACCTTATATTGTGAAATTGTGAATATGCTTCGTTGAAGTTTCATCAAAACTCATTGATGTAATAATCACGATACTGTTTTTATATTTCAATTTTCTATATCAAACAAACTCGGAATATATTTTTCAATAGTTTTTTCATGTAATTGCCAAACGTTAGAAAATAGCTTCCTAAAAAACAACTTCTCTAGAATGATTTTCCTATCGAAGTTGTTTTTCATCAAATAAACGAAGCCCTAGTAAGGTGATTTACAAGATTAGATGTTTATATAAATCATCTATCATATAATATCTTTTTGTACTTTGTTATAAGACTCGCTTGTCATATATGTTGGATAATGAATATAAAATCACTACAATGTTTTTAAATGCAATACATAATTATAGGTTTTGCACATATAAGGAATTTTATTTATTTATTTATTTATTTATTTATTTTGACAATGAGGTAGGTGAACAACAATAATATTGTATATGAGTTGTGTAAGTACTTAAATTTTAATACATTCTTTATGTCATACAATTAGATTTGATTTTTTTTTTACTAAATTAGTCGGTGTACATCTAAAATCTAAAAATTTATTTTCAAATGCAAAATTCCAAAATGGATCTTATCATATGAAAACTATTGGCAACTAAGGAAGATGAATATCGACGATATTTGTGTCATGTAATCACAAAAATGTATTACACGGGTAAATAAGATTAGTCCGACGTGTTTAATGTGTTAAGTAATAAAAAATTATCAAAATGTTATCCAAATTAATACATTGTATTTGATTTGTTATTTATGTGTACCATTGTTTATTAAGAAAATAGATAAAACAATAATGATATTATCTATTTGTCATGTAATTATTCAAATTTTATTATCGTCTCATTTCAATCCCACATCAGCTTGTAATTGAGTAAGATTTTTAGTATCTATATTGGATATAATTGGTCAAAAAGCATCATAAACTAGCCGAGTTAACTTATAAGTCCAACATATTAAAGTGGTATAACAATCACCTCACTTTGAGTCTTTTTCTTCTTCTTCTTTTTTCTAACTTTAGCTTATTTTGCTTTAAAAAAATTAATTCTATGATTGATATTATTATATATATAAAAAATGGCAACTAGGAAAAATAAATACAAGTGACATTCGTGTTATGTAATAACATGAGATTTATTGCACATGTAATTAAAATAGTTTGGCATGTTTAGCTTGTCGAATAATTCAAAATTGTTAAGTGTGAATCGATTTAAGACATTGTATTTAGATTTTTGCTTATACATTTATTTATTATGAAAATAGATAGGCAATAACTATATTATCTATGTGTCACTTAATTATTTAAATTTTATTATTATTGTGTTTTTTATGAGTTAAAGTCACAGTTTGGTTTACTTACAAAATATGCACGATAATCTAAGACTACTTTTATTTGATTTAAAGTAAAAATAAGACAAGAAAAAGAGAAAGCTCTCCAAATTGAGTTGATATGACTCACAAACCAGCAAAAAGAAGGTTAATTGCTACACTCTAGAATTATGAGTGATAAGATTGAGGTTTGTTTGCCATTGGCCTAACCGGAGAAGAAATTGAGTAATTAAGGAATAATCTCACAAAATTCATAATAGTAATCACCTGTGAAAATAAATGAACAAGCATCATTTATATGACTGAAATACATTCCTAAAATATAGTTTGGGAGAAGCATGACTAGAGAAACCTAAACCAAATTGGTTTTTTGTGGATTTCAAATTGTCCATATTGAGAATCCTACTCTAAATAGAAAAAACAATCCAAATCCATAACCGATTGTGAATAATAATCTAAGTCCTACTAAAAAGAAAACATAACCTAGTTATAGTAGGAAAAACAAAGCAAACTAATTAACAAATAAACATCATAGGGCCAAATCATTTTAAGGCTTACATCAAAGCCCAAACAAGCTTCAATTTAGCCATACAAACTCCGACCAACAAACAAGTGATCTAAATGGTCTAAGATCATCAAAATACTCGAATTAGACTTTAAGGCAAGGCTTAAAGCTTTCTTATACACACTTTTGTTATCGGACCTAAGTGCGTGTGTGTGCCATCATCTTACATGCCATGTGAATCATGGCGCTCATCATCTCCTCTTTCTTAAAAAGGATTTAACACTAAAATCTAATTCATATTCCAAATCTAAGTTGATTTTCACATTCAAGTTAATTTCTATCATATCTAAATTTGTTATTTTAGCATGACTACCTTGAATTTGTGGTAGAGACGCCATCATTCTAGCCAATATTCTTTTTTAATTGTATCACCTCCCTTATTGCCAATAACCTTCATCATTATATCTTTTTTGCATCAATGAAATTATTGGTTAAAATCAACAATAACAACTTCAAGCATACTACTACCGATGAAATTTTAGCATTTAACTTCATCTATTCGTGTGATGATGAGTTCGTGATGCCATCACATTAAGTAAAATATTAGGCCACCAATTTTCCCAAAGAGATACTAACTCGACCAAGATTTAGACCTAAAAGTTAATGCCAAATCACGTTCATCACGTTGAACTTAAAAGTAAAGTTATTACCACTATTGACAAAATGCTTTTGATCAAGTGTGGGGAAACAATAACATCCTTTATGCCAATAATAAATTAAACTAGCCTTATGTCTTCTAGTTTTTATGCTTCTTCTTTCTATTTCAATAGGAAGCTCAACACCTTTTCATCATGGCCAATGTTGTTATGTAATTTTTCCCGTGTCTTTTGTCTCATATGAGCAATCATCCTTCTTCGTCATCAAAACAAATTTGTCCTTTATTGCTATGTTATTGGCAGCGAAGTTTTATTGATAAAACACTTATGTCCAAGTGCTATTGAGTTACCAACAACATGTTGATTAGCAAGTCTAATACCTAACTTTTTTTATAGTCTTCCATCAATTAATTTCTCGTGCTTTTGGTTAAAATAACAAGCTTATATAATTTTCCTTAGGTTCTACTATAGTGTTTAAGGTAATAAAGACGATAAACTTTTTTTAACAAGAAAACTTTTATCTCGGATGTGATTGAGAGTAAGAACTTTAGTGTGCGAATCCATGGCGGTTTCCTTATTAAAAAAAAAAAAACTAGACTTTCATTTTTATGTGTTGTATATTACCTTGAT